AAAGACGATTGGTAGATGTGATATTTCGTACCTTGCTAGTATGAGTTCCAAAAACCTAGGGGCCGTCGAATTTTCTACAACTGCTTCAAATGAATATTTTTTAATGTTTTACTGGCACCGCTGACGAGGTCACACCGAGAATGCTTTATACCTTTTGAAGAGTGCACCATACGATAAGTAATATCACAATGTATGCACTTCAGCAGTAAGGACGTTTTTCGAAATCTTTGAGCGTATTAAGTTGATTTCGGGACCTTTATTCGGCATAGCTTTACGACAAGAGAGTGGAATCAGGATCTTTAGGTGAACTGACAAAGTGGCGACCGGAGCTGTATTTTCTTCTCATCGTCGCTGATACATGTCATAATCAACATAATCATCAAACAATATATACAAACGGCAAGTTCTAAGCAAATTACAGCGAATCTAGCCAGATAGTCATTTCTCCAACGTTCAGCCCCAAGGTTTGATTCGCACCTATCGCTAACTTAAAAAAGAGTAAAATAAGGACACAAAAGTTTCTTCCTAGGCAAAAAACTCTCAAGTCAATAGACTACAAGACGCGAATGCATACTCAGCTGTTGGTCGGCAAAGCCCTGGATTTTGATCTATGGGATGACGGCTAGAAGGTATAGTCAAGAAGTAGAACTATCCCCATAACTAGCACGAAACGGCCACTGGCCCAATATTTTACATCAACCTCGCCACTGGGGCAGTGTGAGCATGAGGAGTTTTAATTTGAAGATATTTATAAACCCTGTCCAACTGTCCTATTTTCATCATCAAGGCAATTGTGCAGACCCAATGGTGAATTGCCGGAGACATATGTTGGTCGAATTGACTCTTCAAGAAGAAAAGAGATAGGGGATTGACTATCGATGCTGAGACAGATAAGACAGTTGGGGGCATAGACTTTAAAGCAAGATCACCTGGAAGTTAGGCGTTCCCCACGGTCTTTGCATAGTCTTTAGAACCCAGAATCTCCCTTAATCAGTAATGCATATGCTGCTTTTCGTTCTTTTTATGAAATGAGAGGGGTCTAACTAGTGCTTGCCACATGAGGGGGTGCGGAGGGATTTGGCGACCGAGGTTGGCTAACGAGGGGAGAAACCGGCGCAATGTCCTCAGCCTCCTTCACGTCATTCTTTTGTTGTTGCAGTTGTTGTTGCCCTTCGTCCGATTCGTCAGAGGAGTTGTGCGGCCCAAAGTCCTCCAGAGTAAGAGAGTAGGCCAGCCTCGCGATTACGAGTCCATTGTTTGTTGATTTGACACCTGCAACGCCGTCTGTGCGAATCCGCAAACAATCTGAAC